GGGAGCATGATGACATCCATGACATACTGACTACTCTCGAAAAATGCATGATCTTTGAAGAGCATTCTGTTCTTAGTTTTGCACAGGGTAAGAGCAGAAAAAAATAATGAACAAAAATTAATGAGCATGGTAACCGTGACTTTTCCAAATTTTAAATTGGAGTCAGTGACCTGGCCAAAGATTGCCATTTGTGTGATTTGTGCAATGATTCATATGAATGGTTTTATAGAGGAGTTGTTATTTTACAATGAACAATTTGCCTTAATAGCTTGATATAATTTTATGAAGAAGTACAACGTTTAGCACATACGTCTGTGTTACCACAAATGTTCTCATTCACCATGAAGTCGATGGGCATCATACTCCTAATGATTTGGATAACTCGCACCTTTCCTACATTTTTCATATCCTTCTTGACAAGTCTACCAGTAACTAACGAGTAATATCACAAGAAATAGTAGGTGCTTATTGGTTGGAAGTGTCTTTACTGACACTGAATGACTTTTGTTCGCAGGACGTGCAACTGGCCATTAGTAGACCAATTTACACATTTTCTTTAGATTGAGTATTAATATTCACACATCATTTTCACTGACTTGCCCTCCTTTTGGTCCTGACTCCATTCCACTAGTACATTCTCAATAATTTATGTTTAAAGGCATAGTGAGAGACCTGCATACAGCTACCATATATTCTCCAATTTATATTCAGACGATTAATAGTTTTTCAACCTAATCCAAGATAATGATCCAAGATAATTGATAGAGAACATCAAAATTTGCCTTCAGTAGACATAAACAATGGAACAGTTGAGTAGACGTCTTCTGTTAAGATCGTTGTACCAAATCCATGTACTTGTAAGATGATCTTCAAAACTTAGACATTTTCTTTCTTATAAACGCCAGCAGGGCAACATGCCCGCGTGCAGATTTCCGTGCTGAAATTGGCAGTAGTGCGTTGGAAACTTGTGGATGGTCACCGTTGAGGAAGCAGGGCCAAATTTCTGTCTTTGGATCTTAAAACATTTTTGTCAGAATAACAGAAGAATTTGGAAATGTTAAACAGTAAACTTGTAGCATGGGAAAAGAAAAGAGACACCAATTACTCCAGTCTTATTGAGCACCCATTGTGGGCCAACTCTGCATAATAGCGCTTAGTCCTTTGTGTGCACCGTCTCATGTAATATTCATAACGCTGTTTGTACTATTTCAGGCTCATAGACCAGTCTAGAAAGCTCTGGTGCAAAGATGAACTTTTTTTGTTCCCACATTTGTTTCCATGGTTCTCAAAACAATCACACGCACAGGGAAAAAAAAAAAAAAAAAACGCCATTTTCGAATACATACCAAAAAGGAGAAATATTGAATAAATGTACAGAACACCTCCTACATCAACTGGGAAATCTGAATTATCGTGCTAATTATGATCATTCTTATGTTCATTAGGAACAAATGTTTCCGATCTGGGTCGGCCGCTGTTTTTGTTTATTTGTTTTTAATTCTGCCCCATTAGCTCCGTCCGTAAATTATTAAGATGAGGAGATACTGTCTCTGCGTTCCTGTCCCTCACGGTTCAAGGGTGGGGTGGGTAGCACACAGATCATTAGAATCACATGAGCAGACAGCCCATACTTTGTTATCTGAATCTCGAGTCCTACCCCGTGTTCACATGGGAAGTTTGAATGGAGCTGATCTGATTATACCATGGCGCAAACTAAGTCATGGTGATTTCCTAGTGAGCAAGCAGTAAACACTTGCCAGATTTAATAAAAGTATTTCTCCTTGGAAATTTCAGCCCATGTGGGCCAAGTGATTTGGGTGACTAAGTACTTGCAGCGCGTTGTAATATATACATTTTGTTGAAAGAGGAACACTAGCAGACGCTGCATTGTACTTGTTATATAGCTGCCTTCACATACTTCTTTGATTCCAAAGTTAGGGTTGGACCTAAATTTAGAGATTCAAAAGTCAACGAGGTAAAACACATCTAGCAGCTCACAGAAAAATGAACTGTGAAATCGAGTCAGGGAGAAAAGCGTAAAGAATGGATGCTCTCGATGTTACAGCATTTTTTAAAAATTAGCTACAAACGTGTGGTACTTCAGTACTGAAGCCATGGCCTTCCTCGTAAGTTTTACCTGGAAAGTTCTTAGATTGAGACACTCTTCTGACTGAGAGGGAATAATTTATTTGACGTCCGCGATTGTCACTTAAACTTTGGGGTTGTACTTTTTCTAGCCAGCGTTTCCAGTTTTCCACCTTTTGTTAGAGTGTGAGCTCTTCCCTTGTATTTAATGGTCGTATGGAATTGACACCTCGAAGAACATTAATTTGACACTATCAGAAAGACCTTGTGTCTATTAGGGAAGCACCACTGTCTGAAACGGCACGGGATACACACGTGTCTCGCTCTGACACAGATTCTTGTTTAATTGTGATAAAATACACATAATGTAGCATTTACCATCATAATTCATGTAGAGATTTTTAATTTTTTTTTAAGATTTATTTATTTTAGAGAGAGAGAGAGCACATGAGCAGGGGGAGGGGCAGAGGGAGAGGGAGAAGAGAATCTTCAAGCTGACTCCAAGCTGAGCACAGAGTCTGACTTGGGGCTCGATCCCAGGACCCTGAGATCATGACCTGAGCCGAAACCAAGAGTCAGGCGCTTAACTGACTGAACCACCCCGGTGCCCCCATAGGCAGATTTAATGCAACATTGTTTGGGAAACGAAGCAGGAGAAGCACCATAGAACAATTTGCGTTGGTGATGGAGTTACCCAGAGTCCCTGGGATAGGTCCTCGTGCTGAAGTCACCATGTTTGGGCTTTTCAGTGAGATATTTCTGGTCACCATCAGCATGCAAAGTAACAAGCCTGTAATTAACCGTCTTTTTGGAAACGAGGCAGAGACCTTCCTTTGTCCTCCCCACTCCTTAAACCAGGGACTTGGATGATGGTGAGATTTTTTTCCTTTCCTTTTGAACCCCGTGTTAACACACCTCTCCCTTTGTGTGAGATGCTCTCTGGCCGGTAGCCCTCACCCTTCACTGACGTCCTCCCACCGGGTTCCCTGGGGATCAGCGATCTGGCTGGAGGTCAGAGTTCATTGGTGAGAAGGCGCAGGCCGCGGGCTGGCAGGCCTTAACCAGGTGTCACAGGATGGTGGAGAGCCACAGGCAGCCGTCTGGCAGCAGGTGTTACCAGGTGTTATGCAGGTGTATCCCAGGTGGGACTGGGTGCTGGCAGTCATGAGTGCCGGGGGCTCATGCATGTCCTGGCTTGTAGCCGCCCGATGCTCACATTCCACCCCTGGTCTGTGCTCGCCCGTGCTGCCATACGGATTTCTTCTGTCCCGACTTGGATTTGACATCCGACAGTAAACAATGTACCCTCCTTGACGATCTCCTCCGTCCGGTGTGGAGAAAGCGCGGGCTTCAACTGGAGCGCCAGATGCCGCTGTTTGCACGGCTCCGGGAGGACTGAGTTGTCACCGCCAACCGAGCGCGGCCTCACGCGAGTTCCGACTCAGTGCGCACGGCGGGGGCCGTCCAAGGCAGGCCTCCATGCACCCCCTCCCGGTGTCACTCGGCATGCCAGTCTCGGGGCTCTGGCCTCGGATAGGCCTGTGGCGTTGCCCGTGTCCCGCCGGTGAGGAGAAGGAGGGTGTGGGAGTGCCGCAGCCACCGCCTGGAAACTTGCTTTAGTGGCGACGTGGCACCCTACATAGAGGGCATAGACGGAGGGCTGGGGTTTTTGCCTGGCTGGACAGGTGTGCTGCAGATGAACACGGGCTTAGAGAGACTGGCTTAGGATTAGGGTAGCAATCTCGGCAAGCAGCTATCAAGGCAAAAGGAGGGGTATGCTCATTAGGATGCCAGCGATTGCCTTGTCAGCCATCGTCCATCAACAAAAGGAGGGCCATCCCGGGAGGTCATTCCTCTGTGTGTCCCTGGTGGTGGGGCTGCTTTTAGGGACCCTCAGCAGCTCCCCACCTGAGCGGCAGAAAGAAGCCCTTATCCTCCGACTGCTTCTCACGTTGGAGCGATAACCAAATGCTGTCCTGAACCATTTTTCCGAAGGAGAAGGATGCATTTGGTGACTGGTTCTTTCCATGCCTCACGCTTTTTCCATAATGCGAGTCTCTCAATAAATCCGGGAATACCTGTTGTCACTAGTGTGTGATTGATTCTGGGCTCCCCTGAAATGCCATCAGCCAGATGCTGCTCAGAACCTGACTGTGTCACACGGGTAACACGGATTCACATTCTTTCATCTCATCATTTATTGATAATTCCATGTTGATAAGAGGGCCCATGCGCACGTAAGCTATAGAAGCTGGATAGTATTTTAAAATAGGTTCAATGAACTGAGGGTTAGGCTCCTTTTTCGTAAGCTATCAGCCAATGTTACTGCTGTGAGAATTACCAGGTTTCTGTAGGGCCACAGCTAAAGGCCATTGTGGTTACCATTTACCACGCAAACCAAAATGACTCCGTAGAGAATGAAAATCTGTGTATGTGTACAGCAGTCCAGAAGGGGCCCTCAAGTTGTACTGAGATGCTTTCTGAACGTTATCAATTATTTCACAACTGCATCTCACTGAGTACGTAATACCCTGTGAACGTGCGTACGTATGATTGATGTGTATCTGTTGCATGCAGTACAAAGTTATAACTCATGGGTCCAGTTCCTTTCAGAAACTAGCATAAAATATTACTTCTTTAGGGGGAAAAGAAAACAAATCCATTTATTTTGTAAGACATTCCAGGGAAATTTTGACCAAGTAAGAATTTTTACCTTCCTTTCTGATGTCTTGGAAATCGGGCATCCTGTGTCTTTAACAAGAGAAGTTTTCTTCTCAGGGCTCCTGGCTGGCTCAGTCCATACAGCATGTGACTCTTGATCTTGGGGGTGTAAGTTTGAGCCCCACGTTGAGTGTCGAGATCGCTTAAAAGAATAAAATTCTTAGAAAAGAGAATTTTTCCTATTCTGTCTTCAGCCTCTGTTCCCCAAGAAGAACTACGAATGCTTGACTAGCTGTGAGTTCCTCAAGTACATCCTGTCGGTGAAGCAGGGCGACTGCCCGGCTCCTGAGAAAGCCAGCGGATTTGCCGCCGCCTGTGTAGAAAGTTGTGAAGCTGACAGTGAGTGCTCTGGGGTGAAGAAATGTTGTTCGAACGGATGTGGACACACCTGCCAGGTGCCCAAGACACTGTACAAAGGTAAGGCGCAGAGGCCGTGTGAACGGAAATTCACCAACTCATGGGGGGCGGCGAGTGGTGTATGCGTGGGGAAGGGTGTCAGTCAGAGATGGGGGGTTGTGTGCGTGGG